TTTTGTTAAAATGACTGGTATCCTGGGATAAACTAATTCCATGACCTTTCTTTTGCACTGAATCTAGGGACGATCTCTACCTTTTTGTCATCCTTTCAGATCTACTGTAGGTATACTGTAGATGGCAGTATTGCGTGATTACAGTTAAAAAGTATGGGCTGGTGTGTAAAAGGGCTTGGTCCCAGAAGGCAGACAACTAAAAATCTGCATGGTCGTCAATATGTTAAAAGATTCCAGATCTTTGCAATCTCAGGCACGAATGTTTTTGAATGCAGAATCAACACACTTGATCTCTTACGTTTGAGGCATTCTGAGAATGAGTAATGAATAGCACCAATTCGTCATCTGTATTGCTATAGCTGGTCATGTGCGATTACATTATCCGACCACAAAATGCATACCAAATACAACCATCAATTTGTGTTTTTTTAATATTATTTTCTTTCAAATGTCTTACTAACCCATATCTTGCTATTACGTTACTTCAGGAATGATATTCACGAAAAGTCCCCGCGAAATGGGCTTTTCTTGCGAATAAAATGGACTTAGTCCATGCGGTGCGATAAGATATCGCATTCGCGAATCTATTCATTCTATACAAAAATGCTTAAGCAAACCTTTCTCCAACTTGTCTCAACCTGTTTTCTCACTCTTCCAAACTCATTTCCATCAAGTGGTCGATATTTGACTAGGCTGACCTAACATTACAATATCAGTTTCGTTGATATTCTTTTCTTTCCTACTTCGTTACACCCTTCAAAGTGCCATTTATTATCGATGATTATGCATCTAAATTACCCCCAAAACTGAAATTCATGTAAAATCCGGGCCTTCGCTTTTCAAGACTTCTATGAATCTGCATTGAATTAAATTCGTAAGTAGAGCTTTGTGCAGAAAGCAAACTTTGGCTGGACTTGCATTGCAATCTGTGAATAAAAATGCTTATTAGGAAACCTACTACACTACAACCCAAAGAGTTTTTTTTTAATTTGGAAAAACTATGAATTTGCAAAAGATTTCGCAAATGTACTACTTTAGCTCTTCTATGTCTTTCAGCACTAATGTTTATATCTCTAAGTAGTTAAATGTACGGACTGTTGCTAAAGAAATTTTTCACAATTTTTCTTGCTAGCTAGCGGCACTTCATTAATTCTTGCGACCAAACTTAAAATCGCGTTTAAAATTTCGTCTTTGAGGTTCGGTTTTACGAGAATAGTTAAAAGATAGCTTCTGAGTAATTGTATTAAAACGCAAATCTTTTTTTACTTTTAAACACAAGTCATAAATCTAGTTTTGGTTGATGATTTGGAGAGTTAACAAACTTTATTCGATTTACATAGGAATATTCGCATCGACCTAATACTTGGAAGCATTTGAGTTTGTTAACGAATATTTTGGTGAATTTTACCTCCTTCCATGAGTTTAACAGCATTTATATGAGTTTAGAAAGAAACACTTATTTCAGACTTTATAAAAGACATGAAACTTTTTCCACTCTCTTGTTACCTCAAGATAGGCTGAGGAACACACTCAAAAAATCGCAATCAAAAATATGCAAAAAGGTCAAAAATGGACTAAGTCCCAGCTCACCTTGCTGCTGGGAGTAAAATGGGCTTTCGAGTCCGTTTAAAATGGAGGTAAATCCCATTTTGCCCCATTCCAAATGGACTTTTGACGTCATCTTTCGCAAGCGAGAGCTCAGGTAGGGTTGTATCATTTTCATTTCACCGCATTGCCTCGTGGTTGCAATGGGAAGAAAATTTTTGGATAACGCGAGCGAAAGCAGATTCCGACCACTCTTCACCGCGAACGAATAAAATAGGGTTTGAAAGTCCATTTTCCTCCATTATGGACTTTCGTGGATATCATTCCAGGTCTAATCAATTTACTTCTCTTCCCAATCATTACAGCTTGTTGACTTGCTCTTAAATGAATTACAAAAAGTGAAACTATTTGATATTCTTTCGGAGTCACTGGACTTTCCCCGAAATCATTTGGGCAAGGTTGATTGCAGTGGCGTACCGAGGGAGGGGGGGCGGGAGGGGCGCGCGCCCCCCCCCCCCCGAGAATGGGTCGCGAAATTTTTGAAAGTTACCTATATGGGTTATAAAAATGTGCAAACGACTTGTTTATTTTTGTAAATAATTAAAATAATTTTTAAAATTTTTTAAAAATTCAAATTAGCCTTACAAAAAAAATTTTTTCGGGGGCGTGGCTGACGCCACGCCCCCTTTTTCCAGATTTTAGGGGTTGGGGACCCACAAAAATTTTGAGAAGCGCCCCAAAAATTTTTTCGGAGTGCGTGGCTGACGCCACGCACCTTCATTAGAAAAAATTTTTTGTCGCGCCCCCCCCCCCCCCCGAAATCCTGGGTACGCCACTGGTTGATTGGTATTACTGCACCAACCGGGCCCCGCTTTGCTTCATTATTTGCAAGAGCATCTTCTGCTGGCAAATGAGTTGGCATGATTGCCATCTCCATAGATTACAATTTAACTTGATCACGCTCACGCATAAGTTATCCATCATTACAACCCTTACACTGGTTTACTGGTTTGGTGGGGTCAGATAATATACCCACCATCAAACCTTGTTTGCTTGTTAAAATCAAAATATTTTGCTGGCAAAAGGGGGCATGGGTACATCCCCATGAATCGCATCATTTAGTTCCGATAATTATAATCATAGAGCAGCCAAATACAAGCTTTCATCACATTTTTATCAAGATTAGACCTAAACTAATGATGCACTATCGTTGCGGTTAGACTATAAATGACTGCTTTCTATTCTATTGTATGGGACGCCAAGAGCGTATAGAATAAACAAATAATTGAATAAAAATAAAGGATTTGATCAGCGCGTTGTACAAGCGCTCACGGAGGCATTTCGACGAGATATGTGATCTTTGCATTTTGGGCAAAATTCATGAGGACTTTTCGTAGGCTCGTAACTCGGAGAATTTCACAGACTGGAGCCTGAGTCATGCACCATTCGATAGCACAATTCCTAGTAACTTTGAGAAAAGCAAACAGGCAAGGTTTCTGACAGATACGCTAGAAGTGCCGCCAAAATTACCCACTTTCGTGATGCAGTTACAGTCACCTCACCGTATCTCTCCAAAAAGACCCCGTAATCCTCAAAGACCACGATTTTCGTAAAGAGCGTGTTCGAAAACCTCTATAAGCGAAGTTTCCTTACAATTCAAGAGCATCAACATTTTGACCAAAATCTATCGGCGAGCTTCCGGAGCGTAAAACGAGAAAAAATGGAATAACCCGAACATATCGGAAAACTTGCTCGTAGAGGTTATGCGACCTGCTGATTTCGAAACTCACATCTGCTTAGCAAGATAGCTTCGTATTCTGCGGATATGGCGAGTAGAATTTGGGACGACAAGATTTTTCCACAACTCACTCGCCGTTCTACTTTCTTTAAAAAGAAAACTGCGGCTACTATTTAACACATTATAGTCTACAGAAAAAGTGCTATCGAAATATCCTCGCTGGAATATACTCGGGACAATGCTCGCTGCTTTACACCTTCGCGAAAAGACGTCCTCAGAAAGATTCAAGAATACTGAAATCGAAATATCAAGGACATGCTGTATATGAGAAAAATCGCCTTGATGAGCTGAGCAAGGCGCTGCTTTCGGATTCAAAATATACTTATTCCGAAGGAAGTTATGGCGAGTAGAATTTAGAAACGCGTGATTTTTCCAAAATTTCCAACGCTTCTATCTCATTTGAAAAGAAGTCTGAGCCTACTTTTTAGCGCACAATGATCTACAAGAACAGCATTATGGAATAGTACTTAGTAAAGTGTCTTCTATGTTGGGTAGGCGTCGCTTCACATATTCGCGAAAGGACCTCCGTAGAACAAACTGAAAAAACTGAAAACGGAATATCGAAAACATCGTACCCCACTTCCAATATATCAAAAGATTCTCCGCGCCGAGCTGAATCGAATGGTGGCTTTGGATCCAGAATTCGTCCACTCTGAAGCGAGATATGGCCACGCGACGCTGATGTATACACATGTCCATACATGTCCATACATGTATGGACATGTCCGTACATGTCCATACATGTCCATACATTCGAGTCTATTTTTCAAAAAATGTGAGCGGTATTGTATCAAGATTGAGCCTTTCCCGCGGGCAAGATTTGACTTTGGAGGACACAGAGCCCTTCAAGGTTGAGACGAAAAGCCGTTGTGAGAGGCTTTGATTGGAACTTCCTGCAGTATGCGAGTTCTAGCTTGCACACTTATATTGCTGATTGCGGCATTCGGAAGGAAGGCGGGGTTGAAGTTGTTTTGCAGCAACTCCTAAGCTTATTAGTACTAACCAGCCAAGTTCCCTATTTGAAGGTAACACTCTCAACAGCAGGATTAGCTTCCGGAGTTGATAAGTCTTGTAATTTGACCGCTAAAGCTTCCTTTTAAGCTTTGGAGCTCTGCCGTTGCATCACGAACCTACTTTAGATATTTCTCGTTGCTTGCGTGGTCGACAATTTTTGCGGTAACGATAAGATTTGCCTTGTTCCACTCAGAATTTGTTCAAAATTTAACATCATTTTGTCTTGCGCTATTTACAGGGAAAATCATTGAGCAATCATACTTAACTCACTGTGGGTTCTACAAAGACTGAAGCTATTCAATTTTTAGTAGAAAATATTGTATAGATGACTTGCTACAGACACAGATCAGTCTAAACATTCTTTGTCGACAACGTCAGCTACATTTCTTGAAACTTTTACCACAATCTTCAAATGTCGCCCATTCTTTGTAACATTCTCATTAAGTTAGATATCTCTACTTTAAAACCAAGAAACTCAAATACGCTCCCACACGTAAGACTAGCAATGTTATAAGTACTCTGAAATATCCAAGATGACTTGATACGTGCTTTTAAAAACGTACAACTTTGAGGTTCTCAGTATGTGGCCACAGTGTTCTCGACTCTCTTAGTCTTTAGAATGAATAATATCCATCAACAATGGTTAGATTGAAAGACGAGATAAAAACAAACAAATATTTATTGAAAATCTCACTTTTGCTTGTTTTGTAGGTTCGCAAATAATTCGAGGTGGAAAATGCTAAAAAAACACCAAATATTAACATGGCGTACGAAATAAAGATGACTGCAGAAAAGCAGACAAACCTGGAGGCGATTAAATGCGAAAGTGAGACTATTAGCAAGTCTGGCAGACCCACCAACACGGACAGAAGTATGACAAAGATTGCTCCTTGTTTATTTTGTACGAAGACCTCATCTGTGTAATGATACACGTTACCTACTAACATCACCTAGTGTTGTACATGCATGAAAAACTCCACCAGCGGGGATGGGAGCGGAGCTCAAAAGAAATTTTTGTATCTCAGTGCATTAGAGGTCGAGTGAATACCTATCATTTGTCACAAAATTGAGCAAAGGTTTTGCCAAGTAAAGTACTTCAGTAGTTCTTTTGAAAGTAATGCGGTGTACCTTAGCGGTTTTTTCTCTACTTTCTTTTTACAAAATCGATGTAAAATTTGATGGAGATCCGTACCTACAAGGCTAACAAGAGGACCAAGTTAGTCGAAGTGGCTTTTATAGATGTATACTAGCTGGCTTACCCGGCTCCGCCCGGCCCTGCTAATAAGGTTTTATCCCTATCCCTGTAAAACCTTTCATTGTGCCCACTTCCACATGCAATTCCCTACTCCTGCTGTGTTAGTAATTAGCATGCCCACCTACCTTCCTCAACAACTCCCAGCCCCGTAGCTCAAACTTTGCAAAAAAAAAACAATAAAACCGGTAAAAGTAAGGATAATTCTGAAAACTGATGGCGCTATTCGGCTATCCGGCCCAAAATGTTTTTGTGATGGATCTTGCTCAAGGTCGGTACATGTGGACTATTAAAGCCGCTGACGACGAATATCGTAGTCATTTGGCGCGATATAGCGCCATTTTCTGGGTTTACGTTGGGTACACATAAGAAACTAAAATCATGGATTTCGCTGAAACTTTGAGGGGGCTAATTGACATGCTGATTACGAATATCATACACCTTCGGCATTTTGAGGCGATTTCATTGAGTTATGGTAGGTATATTGCAGAGGGGCGAAATCTCAGATTTGGCTGAAACTCGGTCTAGAGAGATTCGACCTTCTGATCACGTCTAAAACACTCTCGTTGCTTTTTGAGACCTTTTCGCATAGTTACGGTAGGTACATGGCATCGGGTAAAAATCATGAACCTGCCTGAAACTTTGGCAGAAAATTACCTAAAGTGCTATTTCAAGAATATGGTGCTCAATTCCCACGATAAAGGCAATTCGTGTGGTATAAAAGTTTCCCACGACCGCAATGCTTTCCCTTATAGGACCACTGCCGCGCGCGAGACACCCTTCGGCGGCTTTTGCCTAAGCAAAAACAGGGGTAGGGAGATTTGCTGCGTGCGTTACGCATTGGGACAGGTTATCAGTTTCCTTATAGGACCACTACGCGCGCGACACACCCTTCGGCGGCTTTTGCCTAAGCAAGAACAGGGGGAGGGAGATCTGCCGCGTGCGTTACGCATTGGGACAGGTTATCAGTTTCCTTATAGGACCACTACGCGCGCGATACACCCTTCGGCGGCTTTTGCCTAAGCAAGAACAGGGGAGGGAGATCTGCCGCGTGCGTTACGCATTGGGACAGGTTACCAGTTTCCTTATAGGACCACTGCCGCCCGCCATACACCCTTCGGCGGCTTTTGCCTAAGCGAACAGGGGGAAGGAGATTTGCCGCGTGCGTTACGCATTGGGACAGGTTATCAGTTTCCTTATAGGACCACTACGCGCGCGATACACCCTTCGGCGGCTTTTGCCTAAGCAAGAACAGGGGGAGGGAGATTTGCCGCGTGCGTTACGTGTTGGGACAGGTTATCAGGATCGCGGTGGAGACCGCCATGCAAAACGACCGTTTACCCATTTCTCGAATATCTGGGATCTAAATTGGCCCAAAAGCGAAAAAATATCCATTCAAACCCTGCATCTCACCATAACTTCACTATTGCGTTATAACAGCGAGCAAGCATCATATTCATAAGCGATACACTTGTGAACCTTTACAGGTAAGGTTTTGAGCAAATCTGGAACTTTGACCCATTTACACCCACCGTAACCCAAGAAAATGCACTAATCTGCGAAATCAGCATGATATTCATGTTCAGCGCGCTAAATGACCACCCCAGACGAAGTTTAAAGCAAATCTATGTTTTCGACCCCATGCCATATAACCACCACAACTCTATGAAAAGGTCCCAATATGCAAAGAGAGATGATATTTGTAATTAGCATGTCGAATCTTATATATAAAGCTGAATGTCTGTTTGTCTGTCTGTCTATCTGTATGTATGTCTGTCTGTCTGTCTGTCTGTCTGTCTGTCTGTACGTATGTTCCGAATAGAAAATCCCATTTCTGAACCGATCTGGACCAAACTTGGCACACATACACATCGGGCCCCGGCGGGTGTCATAGGCTACTTTTCGTCATCGATCGATATCGATTTTATCGATTTTTTGCAAAATTTGAGCTACGGGGCTGGGAGTTGGCACAGGGGGGTAATCGAGCATGCTGATTACGAATATAATAATGACAGGGCCGGGAGGGGCCGGGTAAGTCAACTAGTAAGCTAGGACCGAACTCCAGCCGACTTCATGATTTTGACTTCCTATCGTACCCTATCGTAACCACACGGGAAGACGTTCTGCGGAGAAAGTGTGATATCTGTAATCAGCATGTAAAGGGCCGGGCATACTTCACGCGATTTGGCAATCTGCCAGAAGTCTTCGGATCCAACATTAGCAAACTGCACATGCATATTGTGTATAACTTACGTAAACTGATGAAATGCCCTATCTTCTGTACCTTTATAATGTGCTTACTATGAGTTATGGACACCTGGAATATTGCCAAATCGCGTCGCGATTGAAATCGCTTGAAGTATGCCCGGCCCTTAAGATAACCCTTATACGTACACGAAGTTTGAGCAGGCTCTAGCACAAAAAATTTTTGGGGCCTGGATAGCCGAATAGCGCCAAACTATTATCGAACTCGTAATCAGCATGCTCGATTACCCCCTGTGCAAACTAGCCCCGTGGCCAAACTTTGTAAAAATCGATAAAATAAATAAAAGTAGTCGATAATCCTGAAAACTAATATTGTGTTCGGAATCCCCATGCTCGATTACCCCCCCCCCCCTATGTCAACTCCCAGCCCCGTAAGTGAACTTTGCAAAAAAATCGATAAAAATCGATGAAATCGATATCGATCGATGACGAAAAGTAGCCTATGACAACCGCTGGGGCCCGAAGTGTATGTGTGCCAAGTTTGGTCCAGATCGGTTCAGAAATGGAATTTTCTATTCGGAACATACGTACACACATACATACAGACAGACAGACAGACAAACAGACATTCAGCTTTATATATTAGGTCGTTCCGAAAGTTCTTTCCGTTTTTCTAACCTATCATAAAAACACGTGGAATGAAGGTAGGGAAACGCTTTAGGCACTATCCGACGAAGCGTTTCTTCCTCTTTCTAGCAGTCATATTCCCATGTCGCAAAAGCTGCGTCGAATGACACCTTAGTTATGCGCCGTCTTATGTTCAATGGCTCTTGGCGTCCTTAAAGTGGAATTTAGTAGCATCAAAAAAATAATTCTAAAAAATTTTTAAGGCTAGCCATAAACGGCGGAAAATTGCATTAAATTGCACTTTCTTTGCTCTATCTGACTGCTATCAAAGCTTTCGTAGAAGTCAGAGAGGAAGATTGTTAAAAATTGCCAAATTTGGACATGGTAAAAACCATGGGTGCGAAATTTCGGCCATTATCTCACTGATCGCAAGAGCAAGCAGCACAGGAATACGACAGTTGAAAAGAGGAAGAAAAGCTGCGTCGGCTAGTGCTTAAAGCGTTTCTCTACTTTTATTCCACGTGTTTTTGTGATAGGTTGAAAAAGAAAGAACTTTCGGAACGACCTAATATAAGATTATATTAGAGATCAAAAAAATGCTGAAGATCTGCCTTCCTTATCTGCGGAACGTTCATGGACGAAGAGTTATTATCCATTATCAGAGCAAAATTTACTTTCGCAAATAAGGCAAAAACAGTTGTAATAATTTTTCTAGCGTTTCAGTGAAACATTGGTGATTAACAACCTTAATTAAAAAAAAAATTCAAGTGAAAAGAATATATCACACTTGGTTGCCCATTTAAGGCTAGGGAGATTTCAGCACCTCATTTTATTTTTCAAGCACTTTTTTGCTTCAACAAACACTCGCAACTTCTCGTTCACAAAGGCTCCGCAGATAAGTAAATCAGAACCGGAATCAGCATTTTATGCTCTCCGTTATGCTATACAACCCATTCAAAGACCCACTTCAGAAGCAGTGTTTTCTTGTAAGCAGCTTATCTGCTATAATTAAATTAGTTAACCAAGCAATAAGTTTCTGATGAATCACTATTTGGGACCCGGAGTTTATCAAGGCTTTCAAGTCACTATTTTTAACAATATTTTTAAGAGTTACTGCTTGGCGCTGTTGCATTGAGTAGACATTTCACCATAGCTTCGCGACATTCTAACTGCGATCGTAGGAAGCACAAATGTTGTCACAAAAAGGTGAGTACACTTTCGTCCAATGTGCTCAAGAAAAGATATACACCTCCGTCCAATTTGCTCAAAAAAAGATAGAGTTATTCTTGGTGTGGTGAGTAATAAAGAGTTCAGATTCATGGAACGAAGTAGCAGACATGGAAAATGCTCTTGCTTTGCTCTCGCTCCCTTCCTCGGCAAAAGTCATGCATTTCAATTTAAAGGTTTTTATACCTGCTCTTCTGGGTTGTAATAGTCGAAAAGTATAATTTGCGCCGGCTTCTGATCGAAAACATTATAGACCTTGTTCATAAACAATGACAAGCAAACAGGCGTGTCGCCAAGCTAAAAAGAAGTTAGCATTTGCAAATGAAGCTCAAATTTGCTTACTAAACATTTGTGCGCTGACAACTGGGTTGTAATAGTCGAAAATTGCAAATTCTTACGATATCATAACTTTCTGAGACTATCAGAATCCAATAAATATTGCAATCGATGTGGAAGGACTCACCGGGTCGAAATAGATATTCACTTTAGAGCCATCATGTTCGAGCTCAACTCGTTGGACGCCATTAATACTCGGCAGCTTATCCGTTTCCTCCTTGTCGAACCTTAGCACAATGTACTCAAGCAAACAATGCCAAAGCTGAAGTGCGATCCATAATCATAAGAATAATAGGGACTTTTGGATCATGAAAAGTTACCCCTTAAATAAGACTGCTGCATGACGGAGGCGCAGAAGCAGTACTAGTTGAGCGGGCGCAAACGCTGCGCGCGCCTTCACCGTTGCACATGCGCCTCGTGCGCTCTGCGAAACCGCGTTCGCTCTTAAAGATATTGCGCCTTCGTCATGCAGCAGCCTATACACTGTAGCTTCCTTGGCAGTTAATGCACTAAGTGCTGGGAAACACGCTTTGAAACTCCACCGTCCCCGCTTACTCAACGAAAGGCGCGGCTGTTGGAAGTTTGAAACGTTCAGGACTTAGCACGTGAATTGGCAGGTGAGATTTGGGATACATGTACTTGGAGGATTTACTACCTGCCACCAAAATTTGAGAAGGGTCCATTTTGCTGATCTTAAGAAAGAATCGCTACTTATTGAAATAGCTCAAAATGCTTCAGATATGATGAAAAATGGTCGGAAAAGTCCCTTTTTCCGCAATTTAAGGAACAGACTTCAAAATACAAGCGTTCTATAATCTTGAGAAACCTCTTAGATTTCCGCTATACAGAGCGCTCTTGTTAAAATCCGTGATACACATGATACTGAGTAAAATATGGTCTCCATCTTCACATTTGCTGCTTTACACGTAGAAGCATGTCTAATCATTCTTTACGGCTAGAAGACACCTTTAAGCAAGATACTTTTTCTGCAGGAGAGAAAACACAATACATGGTTCCTTTGACTAGTCGAGCCAACGCACCCTTTTATCACCTTATTAAGCTTGTTTGATATGCTTCTAACAAACTGAATCTTTTGAAACTTCTGAAACCGAAATCTCAAACTCTAAGGGCATCTCCAGTTACGAAACGCACTGTATAGTAAGCTTTATTGGTAGTTATGTTGTTTTATGCTTGGAATTATGTGTACTTGTCGCGGTTATCAAATAAGATTCAAAGCTACCTTAAAGTTAGCACACTTGCCTGAAATCTCCACTTCCGCTGTCTGAAAAGTCCTGTATCGAGGTATTTGTAAGTAGATGTGCTTTTAGAAAAGTTAGGTAACGTTGAGCATCTATTTCACCACGAAGTACATGCTAGTGTCCTTCTTGCTTTCTAGATCTAAGCATTCAAAAGCTCTGCGCGCAGCTCAGAAATTTGTACGGATACATCGTCATACGAACAATGCACATATCTACAGTAAAGCCGTGCGCAAAAAACGAGCTGAGTTTCTGAACTTGAAAGTGTGCTAACTCTATGGTAAGGTTAAAATCGGTTGAAAACGCAACATTGCCCAGGGTTTTTCTGGACGTCAAACCAACACAGCTATCAAGAAAACTGATGAAAACCGGATGCTTTGGTACAAATTAATTAGAGAATGTGGATTACAGAAAACGGACATTTTTTGGAAGCAGCATTTGTGCTACATATAGAGCAATGCTTCTCTTTTGTACTCGCTCGGTTCAGCACTCGGCAGATATCTCAAACTTCTTTATTAACGTGGCTATGTAATTTTGAATGTTAAAGTTCGCAACTGCGAGTCAATAAAGAGCTTTTCGTGAGAAATTTGTGAAAATGTGAGTGGCCGAAATTTTCTATCGGTTGCCAAATTTTTTTAACAAGGGAAGGCACCAACTTAGAATAATTGTAAAAAAAAGGCATTTATTGCATTAGGCTTGAAGTTTAGATGCTGTTCCTAGGTGTGTCGCACCATTCTGAAACGATTTATCAGCTTTTTTCACTGGCTAGTTTACTAGAATTGCGTTGCAATTGTGATACGCAATTAGCAAGAAGATAGAAAAGACTTATTAGCAAGAAAAGATCGGTCTGATGTCATTTTGATAACCTTCAGCTCTTTCGAGCAAATTTCTTTACAGCAATTTTTCCATAATGACAATGGTCAGAAGCTGAACAGGTCAATCCCAACAGACTGTATTAGGTTCTCCCGAAAGTTCTGTTTTTTTTTCATATTTGAAAATTTGTAATTTTGCGTTATTTCAACGGACTTGCATCTTTTTGATTTTATTTGAAAGCATAAGTCCTTCGCTTTCGAATACTTTCCTCGCTTGTAATACACACTGACTGCAGAGATAAAAATGGAAAAAGAAGGCCATATAAACTTTGGTCATTTTAAGATAGGTCGCCAAAAACCTGTATCGCTGCGAAAAATTTTTGAAACGTAAGTACATAGGCTTTTTGACCTACTCTTTGCAACAGTGAAAAGTTTGTGCTGTTTAAAGGTCCCTGTGAAAAGTTACGAATTTCGACTTTACCATAGAAAATGCCAAAATTAATTAATTTGCCACTTTTATCCAAAATCATGACTTTTTGCAGACACATCCAAACAGCACAAGCTTTTCACAGTTGTAAAGATAGCTAGAACCTCCGCGGTAGGCCCAGTATCCGCCTTTTGTATCTGCCAAACGGTCTTTTACGCGAAGCTACTTACATTAGATTCGGCCGGAGTTTAAACATGCCTCTAACTACAGGTGGACCCAATAGCATGACGCACTGGTCAGAATGCTGAATCATGACATAAAGTCAAAAATCTGAGCCACCACTTGGAACAAAATTTGAGATAGTGATAGCGAAACGCCAGACAAACATCTGGAGAGCTCAAAAACTTGCTTGAAATTAAATCGTAGCTTATTCTGAAAATTGAGTCTGGCCCACAGCTCGGCACAAGGGTGGCAAACGGCCCGGCATACGCCTTTGCTACTTTGATTTTACGCTTTCCATCGCACCAAATGGGCAGGCTCCCTGATTGGTGTGCGTTTTCTTCCACAAAGTCGCGACCTGTCCGCTATTCGGATTCCAGCAAAGAAGAGAAGAGGAGTTTTGAAACCAAAACTTTCTATATATATAAAGCAGAAAGTCTGCGTGTTTATGTGTTTGTGCACATTTCCCATAGCCATGAAGGATGAGCGGTGAAGCTCATTTTCTGCTGATCATCAAGATATGGTAAGGACGGTAGGCAGCGAAACGAGTCGAAATCAAATGAAGGGTCAATTTTGCCACATGAGAAATCAAACACGATGGACTGGCTCCAAAACGGGGTGGAACCCGAGATGCCAGCTCTTATCGCATATAATGAACATTGAGTGTAGAAAAGATTCAAATATGAGTTTTATAAAACCTATGTGAACAGAAGGTTTCGCCCACCTCAGGTGAGCATTAGGTGGGCAATTGCCCATCTAATTTGGAAAAAAGTTGGCCGATCTTTCATATAGTAGGTGTCAATCACGCGCTCCCTTTTCCGCAACCGCAGCGCGTGGACATTAGGCAGCGACCCCCGCATCGATGTGGCAGATTTGAGCGCGCACTCAGTCGAAGGGATACCTCCGGCGGGCAAATGGCGCGAGTCTGCCACTTCGCGCTCTGGAGCGCTCCGGAGCCCTGCCATTTCACCCATTTTGGTGCTCTGGGGCTCTCCCAAATCTGGCGCACCTCCTGAGCAGAGATTTGCGCGTCCCGGAGAGGGGTCCCATTCGTTCACCGTGACGCTTTAGCTGATCGCAAGGGAGCACGTTGCATGTTGCATCGCGTTGACGTTGACACCGACTGTACTTTGTTCCTAATCCTGCGCGCATAACACCAAATTTCGAGCCACATCGTCATCCGTGCGTTAAAATGAGCGATTTTTCCATTTTTTAGTAACGGAAAATTTTAGAAAACCTTATCGCGCATTCCAATTATTTTCTCAAACTTTTTTCACTTAGTTTCTCCCAAATCTTGTTCGTCTACATACCGGATTGGTAGCGTAATCTTGTGTGTGCGCCGTAATCGAATCTTTGTCGACCACGTTGTGCAAGAAAAATTGGATTCCAAAACGGCGTCTTGAACACGATCATGTTTGAATACTTCAATCATGTAAAAATCAACCCTTCAAGGGGTTGAACATGTCTAAGGAGCATGATATACGAACAGTGTACTACAACCTTTGCTTTTTCACATAAAACAATCTCCAGCATGACCTTCGGGCCGGGCCCTGGCCCAAGTGAAAAAGTGACAAAAGAAATCCAAATTGAGGAATGGATACAGATTAGATGTAACAAAAAGAAATGCTCTTCGGGATAGAGACTGTTTTTTTTTTTGAGAAACAAGTCGAGAAAGGGACATACTCAAAGCAAAATGCCTATTGCAGATGTCTGTTGTGCGCCTCTCACATTTCATCACTGCTTTCCATAAATGCTTATAAAGATTTGCTACCAAAATTTTCGAACCAGTCTCATTTTCGAAATGAGCAAAATCAAATCAAAAAAGTAGTTGTAAGCTTTATGAATGCTTCAATAGCGTTCTACTATTGTTAAAACTTCTGTTTTACAAATCAAAAAAGGTCTCTTCAAAGTTCCAGACCGTAAGTCGAGATACTCGCCACTGTGCTATGCGAGCACCTTCGTTATTTGTGAGCCAGCCATACTGAAGCTGAAACCTCGGGAGCTTACTCTTGTAGCTTTGGGTAAAAGTCGTTCAGCGGATAGGGAAGGCGAATATGTAATGCACATACCACGGGTTTCTAACTATATGCCCTTTTTGAGATTGCCCGTATTCTTTACCAAGATTGTAGGAGTATGCCACTCTGGAAAGAATTTTCATAGCTCGCTTCAGAATAACGCGTCGAGGCTGGAACTGCATTTGGAATCAGCGTTTCAAGTTTATTCCACCTATATATGTTTCTTTTTAAAAGTCTAAATGGTACCTTCCCTTACATCCAACATCAACTTTCACTCTTGTCCCGTTTATACTGTTTTCGGGAAATAATTTTTACGGAGTGCCAACGGTTTTTTTGAGCTCTCTAAAAGTCCCCATATGTTCCAAATCAGACCTACTTGAATCCAGTCAAAGCTTCTACTTCTGCAACTGCCATACCTGATTTGCCGTTTCCAGTGTACCTAAATGTTATTAGTGTGGACCGAGAAGTATCTTATCAAAACCTACCAGCTACAAAGATCCAGCTGCAACCTATTTTCATTGCCTTTCAAATTCGTTGAGCAGGAAAACGGTGAATCGTCACGAGGAGAGATGCGATTGTAAGAGTATGACACCTGATTTCATGCTTAATCTGTTGCATAGATATGATTTTCACGAATATATCAGATTGTTGCCGAAAACCTTGCGTAGAAAATTTAATGATTTTGTATTCAAACCTAATTTTTTCGTGTACCAATAGGTAAGAATTCTGCGCTAGGAGTATTTCATACCTCGCTGCTGAGGGCTTCAGCTTGCATAGAAATGCTAAAACGAAGTAATGAGACTATTTAACAGAAAAAATCTCCTCATCTCGCACTCTTCTACAAAATACTTTTCGGTACTCAAAAAGGTTACAGCTGTTTGTTGCCATTGGATTAGCCCCCACCAACTTTGATGTCTGCTAATGTTTCGGCCAACTCTGCCTTGTTAAAGCCGGTAAGTGAAAAACAAATGGACAGAGCTTGAGACGCCATGGGGTTCTCCATACTACGTCGCAGGACGTAGCAGCGAGCGCAGCCTGCGGACTACACCGTTGCAGTCACAACGAAAATATGCAAAAGCGAAAATATAGTAACCTTATGAGAACTGAGAATTAACCAAAGCGAAACAAGTTTGGTGTATACGAGAAGCACCCAACCTGAATGAGAAACCATTGGACCTATGATCAGACAAGACCAATGATAGGGAGACTTCTGATTTTAAACAATACTTTCTACACATGCGAGCATGCACAGAAGAGGAACATTGATAAACTGCAAAAGCGCTGTGGCACAGCCATATCTTCGCTGCGACATGCGGCGCAGATGCCGCGTCCTGCGGCGTAGTATGAAGGAACCCACAGAGCATACGATAGGGCTTTGCAACTAATTTGCATAATCTGCAAAGCGAAGAGGCAAGAGACTGTGCTCAGGCGTTACCTACCTTATAACATGTGAATTATCGGGCATGGGTTCAATGAAAAACTAAAAGGCTAATGCGCTCGAAAACAAGATACACATGGAAGTGCTGCGCAAGGTGAAACTATCAACATTTTTGACTGCTCACTAAAGGCTGCGCAACATGGTACAAAAACTTATATTTCGGTGTGAGGTCTACCAGGTGAAATAGAGGTGGCGGCACGCAAGACCTTGACAGGTTTTTGAACTTTACGTTGAAATCCTCAAATCAACAGGTCACCATTTCACTTGGATGTTCGAGTATTTAATAACCTCAGAATTCGCTACAACTTGATCCACAAAAGTTATCTGCCAATTACAAATATGTTATTTACTATGCTTGATACAGTCTTAGGTTACGCCCAACCATAGGTACATAGGCGATGATGCTAAGAGGGGGGGGGGGAGGGGGAGGTCATATTCGATGAACGTGTGCTATACCTCTTGCTCGACTCTGGTCTTATCCTCTCCACTCCTGCTCGTCCTTGTCATCGCTCAATCCGCGCTAAACTTCGTTCACTCCCCCCCCTCTAACTTCAGCAATTGATAGCTATTGTAAAGGCAAAAACATACCCTCAAATTTTTTTCTGTTTGAAAATTCATTCAAACTCTTTTTGATTACGCAAGAACTTTGTATTAACCTAACGTTTTAAGCAAATCAGATTGAACGAAGGAAATGCAAGCTTTACCTGGACAAATATTGTCCCTCTACCTCTAGCATTGATGACAACTTCCGAACCAACATTTGGTATCTAAAAAACTAATTGGCAATTGCAATTTCGGCTTTTTTACTTATAATATCGTATGAACAAAACACTCTATTCCACTTTTACTGCGATATTCTTGTTTCGCTGCTGAACTCACTTGCATGCCCTTCCGGGTAAAGTTGATGGAAGAAATGCACACTTGCGTTTTGCCTACTCAAACCCCAATTAGCAACCTTTTTTAAGATTGCACGAGAATGAGCTCTCAAGCTCAAATCCAGTCGACAAAATCAGCGAAAGTCATCTATTATTCTGTAGCGTTTATATTACTATATCACTATTAATCATTTGCATTTGCTCATAATTCTATCCTAAATCTCTCCCTAGCTCACTATGTGCAAAAAATTAGCGGAGATGGATGTCATCAAATATCTTATTTCATGGCATAAAACGCTAGTTGCTAGCTCAGGGTTTGCCCAAAAGATCAATGCTTATTGATTTGGAAACAGTATGTGATATCCAACTGTTCTAAAGTGTATTGAGACAAGCTCGGTTTGAGAATCGTTCAGAAATGGAATTTCCTAGTTAGTGCAAAAAAGAAAAGCATGGACAAGTTGTTCTAATGATAGTATGGTTACCAACGTATGGTAAGTCATGTAACTGATCATCACTAAATCACCAAAGTCTATTAATGAAAAGGCTAACCTCATAGCTCTGTAAATCGATGGCATTCAGCGAAGAAATAGCGAACGTATGGCTGTCAGCACCACTGCGCACAGTGACCATCATATTCGTGTTTCCCGAATATGTTCGTTCAGCGTAGCTGGCAAGAGCTTGCAAAGCAAGAACAGTATCCTGTGTAGATGAAAAGCCACCGAGAGAGTTTCTTTGAGCGGTAAGCCATCGAACAATGGGAAGACCCTAAAAATCAAATTCGAATTGGTTGCCATTTGATAAGGCGGTCCTAATGTTCCGTCCACGGTTGCCTGACTGTGCCGAAACAGCGCCGGCACAGCGCTACCAGAAGTCCCATTGTTGTACTCAACTGGCCAAATTCAGAGCTTGCTCTTTTTCTTTTGCCTAAACTGCGTCTTTTTTTTTTCTCCCATATCCTTATGCGTCTATTCTCCCTTCGAAATTTTATTATATGTCCAAATAAAATGTGTCATGCTTTCAGAAAGTTAATGCTAAATCTCCCCGCATCTGTGATTGCAAACTACAAGCTTGAAAAATGAGTACGACCGTGAACTTTTCGCCCTCTAAAAGAGATAGTCTTTGAAAATATCGATTGCGGCTCACCTTATTCAGGTAAGGCAAAGGCCCGTAGTAAACCCCCCTTTAGGGGATCTGCCCTGAGACGGACCTGAGTTGATCGTGTGGCGCCTCGGTTTAGCATCCCGCGAGCTATTGATCTAGATGCGGATCGCTTTTCAGGCATAAAAATCTTGCGCGCTATCAAAGAGGAAACACCTACACCTCTGCAGGTTTGGTCAAACAGGTATGTGACTGGTACTCAGCCCGCACGACCGTGGTTCGGATCCGGAGAGTGGCGAATTTTTGCGCATCACTGAGCAATCTTTGATAGCGGCCACTATCGAAGAAAATCGATGACGGCCGCTATCAAGGAATCCACAAACCAACGATCTGACGCTAACCCTTCAGATCAGGTCGCATTCTTAAGCATGTGAGAGTGACCGCTAGTCACTTTGTCTCAAATACCTCAACTCAGCCCCTCAGTTGAGATCATCTGAAGTGAAGTGGGGTTGACTACGGGCCAAACTCAATATTTTTCGAAAAGCAGCCTTTGTAAAAGACCAAAAACTCACGGTTGTACATCTAATGCTCAAACTATTACTCGTATGATGAACATTCTCCCAAACAAGCCGTAAAGAAATTACAACTATGCTCATATGTCTGATATGGAATGTACATACATGGGCTTGTGGATTAGCTGGAGTCGATTTTTCTTGATTTGGGGTTCAACTTTATAGTTGTCTGGCCTCAAACATCGCGTAGAACAAGTTGACAAAAACGGTTGACTTACTTTTGCTTTACCGAATGGTTCTCCAGAGCCTATTGGGGAGACGGATAAAACTGCGCTTTGGACTCATTCAGGTAGAAGACTTATGTTTCGTCGATACATCAATCACAAGCACGCCACAAAAGTAGACAAATTTCCCCTCATTTGGCCTCTACCATTTTGTTAGTATCTAATATATAAGGAATCGTAAGGTGCATTCAAAAATTATCGGATAGCGAGAAACCAGCGGTTTCTGAAGCGAGCGCATCCACCCAGCACTTTTGAGATTACTGTTCACTAGTCTCGAGAAGATGAGAAGCAATCATAAACGTTGTTAAGCCGTAACGATATCAAATGCAGTCTTAGCACGAATGTGCGGCCCATCTTGAACTTTGTAGAAGTGTATGAATCGCAATTTATTTTGCCTGTAAGCCAACCCAAAGGCTGGGTTCATACTGATTCCCACGTTCTGGAACTGTTCCTGCACAGTTCTCGCACTGTGCTGGAACTGTGCGGGAACAGTTCCAGAACTGTGCTGCATGCGCTGTAGCCGCCCCGCACGCGTTTTGAACGGATGGAGTTGGAGAATTTTGTCCGTTTTCAACGGTCTTCTTCCAGATTTCTCTCATTTAGGCCTTATTCCTGCACCGCGCTTCCCTTTTTGATCAGTAGAACTTCTAACTCGAAGCGGGGTTGAAGAATGAGCGCCTTTCCGCTCCATGTATCTGGAAAGATGGGCGGTCGTGCGATTGTCCATTCTGTCTTCGTGATTTTTGCTCATACCTACTTCATTTGTTCTAGGAAGCGGCTGCGTAGTTTCTATAGCCATCTGCCACGATTTAGGAAGGAGGAGCAATTCTGAAACTGCATGAATTAGGACTTGCCTCTTGTTTTTGACGGTTTTGGGCGTTATCAGCCCCTACCGTTTTTCCATATCATTGCTTCTTCGTTCTTTCTTCTATCCCGCTTCTCCTTGTGATGAGAAAAGCCGCGAACTTGAAGCGGGGTCGAGGACCTTCATGCTCCATCTTCTCTGCCATTTTTGTTCAGGCCTACTTTATGTGTTCTAGAGACATGTCTATGTCAATTTCAATAGGATGCGAGACTACCCAACGACTTGCTAGAACACATGAAGTAGGTTTGAACAAAAATAACGATGAGAGAATGGACGAACGCACGAAGGCCCATCTTCCCGGATACATGGAGCCGAATAGCGTTCAATCCTCAACCCCGCTTAAAGTTCGCAGCTTTTCTCATCAAAAGGAGAAGCGGGATAGAAGAAAGAACGAAGAGGCAACGATATGGAAAAACGAAAGGGGCTGATAACGCCCAAAACCATCAAAAACCAGAGATAAGTCCCAGTTCATGCAATTTCAAAATTGCTCCTCCTTCCTAATTCGTGGCAGATGGCTATGAAAACTACGCCGCCGCTTCCTGGAACAAATGAAGTAGCTTTGAGCAAAAATCACGAAGACAAAGTGGACAATCGCACGACCGCCCATTTTTGCGGATGCATGGAGCAGAAAAGCGCTCATTTTTCAACCCCGCTTCAATTTCGAAGTTCTGCTGATCAAAGAGGAAAGCCGGGTGAAGGAATAAGGCCGAAAGAAGAGAAATTTGAAAGAAAAACCGTCGAGATCGGTCAAAATTCTCCAACTTCCACCGTTCAAAACGATGCAGGGCGGCTACAGCATGCAGCACAGTTCTGAAACTATTCCCGCACAGTTTTCCAGCACAGTGCGAGAACTGTGCATGAACAGTTCCAGAACATGGGAATCAGTATGAACCCAGCCAAAAGCGTAAGTATAAATAAGCTTATTGTCACTGGCACGCACAGCGCGACTTCAAAAAACTTCGCAATTGTTTTACTTTTACTGCGGAGTCTATCGCGCTTCAACAGCTTTTTTCAGGATGTAAATGGATAGAGCATGAAAGTCCTGCAAAATTATTTTGATGCAACTTTAGTTGAACAGCGCTTTGAAAAGCTGCCTTTTACAACATTCACCCACAAGACTGGCAGCGCGCCGTCAAAGAATCCAGCTGCACATGCGGGGCTCCCAAAAAATGTGCACACTATTTGATCGCTATTAACTCCCTTGCTTTCATGTCTTTCGCCAAGCTCGAGGCACCATTCTGTAGGGCGAGGTCAACTCAGACCCAAGCATGGGACGAGTCACGATCGCTCTCCATTACTGAAGGATTACTGTATGAACTTCGACAGATTCAAGCCGTTGGAGGCCACATTCTGACTCGGAACAAAACTAAACAAGCCAAAACTCTTATACTAGGTAGCGGAAGCCGCTGATTTCGAATATGAAATCTCCACTTTTCTGTGATGCCTGTTTCCAAAGTTATCCCAGGTAGACCGTAATAAGTGAGTATTTCCCAGCATTTGCCAGAAATGTGATTACTGTCAAAAAAAGCTGAAAACACTTATAAAGCGTTATATATTGGAATCAGTGGGCGCGAAAACCCCAGTACACGATTTTTCAGATTTTTTGAACGAAATTTCGATAGATGGCATGTTTTCACGATGGTTTCACATGCTGGAAGTTCTTACCGTAATCTTGCAATAACGGAGCGCGATCGCTGATTTGCCTCATACTCGGGATCTAACAAAGTTGAAGCTCGCCCTACAGAATGGTGCCTCAAGCTCGGCGAAAGATATGAAAGCAAGGGAGTTATTAACGATCAAACAGTGTTCACATTTTTGGAACAACTTGTACTATATCGTTCTCAGGCACCTGCAAGATCTCACAAGGGAAGGATGGATGGTCGAAGTGGCCTTTTGAGATGATTTGTATACATTGTTGGAGGGCACACAACGCTGATTCTAAATCTGTCTTCATTATTTGCAGCGAACGAGAAGTTATGGGCATTTATTGGACAAAAATTGGATGTGCAAATAATATAAAAACAGTAGTATAAATTTTCAAAAAATGGGACCAGTGGTAATTTTTCCAGCCCTCTATAAAATGAATACTCTTGAATGAGATATATCTGCACTTCGGCTGTCTCATTTAAGCGCTGGAAAAAATTTTGCAACTGTTTTTATCCCAGAAATACATCCATTCTTTGCTCCTTGAAACGCTCACAACTCCTCGTCCAAGAACGCTCCGCAGATAAGGAGGACAGATTTGGAATCAGCATTCTACGCTCTCTAACATCGCATACAAATCATCGCAAAAGGCCACTTTGACTGACCATCCTTCCCTTGTCAGACAGTCGAAGGAATACCTCCGGAGCGAAAATGGGAGGGTCCCGGGCTCTGCCCAGCGGGGGTTTGCCACTCGTGCTCCGGGGCCCTCCCGTTTCATGCGCTTTGGTGCTCCGGGGCTCCTTCAAATCTGGCCAGTGGCTCGGTAAATTTCAACTTAGTCAAATTTTCGCTTACCTAGGGTTATTTAATACGCTGATTCTGAAAATCCACTTTGAAAGCTTGAAAACTCAGAAAACGAGCGTATTTCAATGCTCTTCCCTTCGGAATTGGACGAGTGCAGCTTTGGCTGACAACGCCGAATCGTTGCAGGACCCAATGGTTATATCATTGCGGCGGGCAGCCTCCAATGGTGAGAAGGAAATTGCCAACTCGTCCGGATGCGCGTAGGAATGGCTTGCGCGTGTAAGTTTGAGAGCAATTTTCTCTGCAAGGAAGGCATGCTATGCAACCGGGATTGCACTGTTTTCATACTTGGGCAATAAGGAGTCTACCGCGTTAAAACTTTGAGTTGTTGAGTTTTGCCAACCCACTGCCTTTGAAGGCAGTGTCCGGGAAAAGTTCAACTTAGCAAACTGGCCTAAGGTTATCCGCTACGTTACGTCCAAGAATCCACAAAAGAAATCGCAAAAATGGCGAAAACAAGCGTTTTCCAGATCCCCTACGATGTGAGTTTGGATGAGTGGAACATTTCCCGCCAAGGCTGAGACGCCCAGTGGCCGGTACTCCACAACTTCAAAGGCAGTAGACAGGCAAAATGGACCCCTGTCAGATTTTGGTAGTTTCGGGTAGTGGACCCCCCAATTACACCGTAGCCCCAACCCCAACTTCCAGTTGATGCGCTAAGTCCTGAAAAAAGCGCTTCAAACTTCCACCAATAACGCCCACTCAATGGAAGTGGGCGGGGCTGGTGGAGTTTTGAAGCGCTTTTTTCAGGACTTAGCGCATGAATTGGAATGTGGGGTTGAGGCTACGGTGTACTTGGGGGTCCACTACCCGAAACTACCAAAATCTGACAGGGGTCCATTTTGCAAAGAATTCTACGGGTGTACACCCCCCCCCCACCCAGGCGTATGTTTCTCAGCTTCTCAACCGTATCTCTTGCTTCTGGTCGGACGTTATGGTCTCGCACTTTGTCAAGGCTCGTCCAAGAAGTTCCACTTTCGCACGACACTGGAAGTCCGAAACTCTTGTCCGGACCTGCCTCTGGACGCAATCACCGTAGTTCCTTTATTGGCGCCGTACCAGACCGTGGCAGTGCCGCAACTATGCTGGCGGAGGTTTCAGTATAAATTTGAGTCAGTGGTCTCTTTTAACCAAGCAAATTCAAAGTTGCTTGTTTCAAAAAGAAAAGCATTTTCTCTGCTTCGCCATCTTCTGTAAACATTCTTCATCTTGACAAAATAAAATTTTCAAAATCTCCATTATTGGAACATTTTAAGAAAATGGTTTGCGAGGACTTTCTCTTTTGCTTTCGACGTGCTGACGCCATTTCATTTCAGTTCATCGATACCATTTCAGATTTTGTATTTTCCGATGCTTTTTGAATTAACTAATTAGTATTGCTCATAGACGGTTTGCATCCTACATTGAAGTTCTAACCCTAGGAAGGATGTAAATCAAGCTAGCTAGACTTGTCAAGTTTTGGTTCGCAGTTTGCTAATTATTCTGAAAGTAAGCCTTCAACGTGTGCATCTGATTTTTGGAGATGTAAGTTGGAGGTATAATCGAACAAACTATTTTGTCTTCAGATTTTCAACTCTAAGTAGCTGTGGGGAATTAAACCTACAGTATTAGGCAAGTATAGGTCACATTCCTGCAGAAAATCTCGTTATTAGGTGCAGACAACTGCGCAGTTTCCCCATTTCCTTCAGGTTTATGAGTGGGCCTAATCCGTATAAAGATAGAAAAAAATTGTTTTTGTAAAGAAGTCTATATCCGTCGCAAAAGAAACATCAAAGATTACCTTCCCTAGCAGTGGCAGAAGAAATTTTTAGAAAAATCAGCAGGTGATAAACGGAGAGATAGAAGGAAGAAGCAAAAGTGTCAAAAGAAAAAACGTGACTCAGTTGGAAAAGTAATAGGTTATTTGGAAGGTATTGCCATCTATTGCGCAATATCGCTTGACACAATTAAAAGCGAAAAGTGTATTGTTCGGTAGAGCGAAGCAGCTCTACAATATGAAGTAATATTCGCAATGATTTACTAGTTTGACGTCAAAGAAGGCTGCAGAAGCCTGAGTCACTTACGGCATGCCGCTGGAACGGCACCAACACACTGACATACCCGTACACGCTGACATGGTATGTACGCAGCCCCTATTAGAGGATGGCAGTTGGCGTGAATGCGAGGTGTATACTCAGTCTTTATGCATCCATTACCTTAGCCTTGGCTTGGCCTTAGCTCCTTTACGATGAAGTGGAACTCTACCACTGATGACAGCAGCTAGACCCATTCAGCGACACTCTATACAGCAAGCGCAAATTCGACAGAAAATGAAAAAAATGGTAGTCCGAATTTTCCTATTTGATGTATCAGAGTTAAGATTAATGCACGAGTACAATCTATGGCTACCTTTGCCACATCACCATCAAGCATATAGCTCAACAAGACGTAGGCTGTGGTTTCAATGTCAACTGGGTGCGGCTGATAAAAATACTGAGTAGTGTCATCTGGTTTGACAGCGTCTTTCGATGTAGACCAGTGTATTGTGCCGTCTAAAATAAGTTGGTCAGGTCAACCTCGATGACTTACCTATATAACCTAAACAAAGTCTCAGCTACCTTTATCAACAATCTTAAGCTTCTCCAGCGCTTCCATAGCGCTCTCCTTTTTGGGACTGTTTGCAAGATATAGTGCGTATGTGGTCACGGCCAATGCATATGCATTAGAGCTCATCTCATCGAGATGATTTTCCAGATAAGCGATCGCTTTCTCATTCCGCACCTAAACATGGGGATGCACCGGCTTAAAGACATTTTATGCAAACAGACAACGCACTCCATTTTCAAGTAGAGAAACTACAACGTAAGCTGTGAGTGCTGGACCTCCTTGACTAGCGCCTCCTTGCACATCCTTGTGGTACACTTCGCCATGCTCAGCAAATGAGCCATCTGGCTAGAAATTAAAGGCAGCGGCTAGGCAGAATGACAACTTTGGGATATTCATCGTTCTCGGTTCCCCTGGATGAGCTAAGTCCAAGACTGTGCTTTGCAACTTTGAAAGATATCAATAACCGCCTAGCTAGACGTAAAGTGCTATTTGGGCGGACTGCATATGCCTGCCCCTCTAGAGCGCGATTGACTCGTGGATACGGTGGCTACAGTATCTCCACTCACGAGCCAATCGCGCTCTAGAGGGCAGATACGCGGTCCGCCCTCAAATAGCGCTTTTCACGTCTAGAAAAGCGGGTTATTGCTATCTTTTAAAGCTGCAAAGCATAGTGGACTTAGCTCATCCAGGAGAACCGAGAACGATGAGTATCCCAAAGTTGTCAACCTGCCGAGCCGCTGCCTTTAAAGGCAGTAGATTGGCAGAATGAGACCTGCGACAAAACAAGGTCACAGGGTAGGAGCCCCCATATGGAAAGGGTAGGAGAACCCAGCGCTCATCTCCTGTATTCGCTGGCCCCGCCCACCATGGGATGGGCGGGGCCAGAGAATACAGGAGATGAGCGCTGCTACCGCGTTGAAGTTTCGGGGGTTAGAAGTGGCATAGAAAGATCGGATTTTGGCCGATAGGTTCCATATGGGAACTCCTACCCTGTGACCTTGTTTTGTCACGGGTCTCATTCTGCCGATCCACTGCCTTTATGGCCTTTAAAGCAAGACAAACTTAGTTCTATTGAAACTCGTTGGTATGCAATTCATTTGGTCCGCTTGATCTACTCGATCCGCTTTGCTATTAATGGGATCAGTGGACTGACCAATAGCAAGCCTGATGTCTACCTTGATCCTCTTGATTCACTTCATCCACTACGCTATCGGTTAGTTCACTCATCTGACCAATAGCGAAGCGGATCAAGTGGATCAAGCAGATCAAGTGGAATGAGTCTGGGGCGTGCCTAGTAATCACAGTACAGTACGTCGCTACTGATGGTATGTTTGAGTTTTGCCAAAAACACGTAATATTCATTTTCAATCATAATTCGTTTTGTGTACACAGAGAGAAAAGTCACGATTCCAGAAAATAAAGACCAAAAATCTCGAAATGTTGCGCCAATAAGCGAGTGTGCTGGACTTACCTCTTGCTGTTGATTGAGGAAAGCTATGGCTGTGTTTATTATGGTCGGGTCGATAAAGATGTAATCGCGAGCTTGCGCGAACGATCGCACGACGAACGCTGTCAACCATGTCGAACCCATTTTATCTTTTGTGCCGAACACGGAAAAGGAGTTGTCGGGTCTTCTATAATTGCAGCAAAGTCATTCTTCTCTTTTTGGAGGCCTTTGGGTTAGTCGATTTTGCGATAAGCTAATAATCGAGCAGTAAACCCTACGAGTGAGCAATAAAACTAAATTTTCCGCCAATATTTTGCCAAAAATCACTCATGACACTTCAGTATGATAATACAAAGGACCTGAAAGTTAGCTCTTGTTCGTAGCCGTGTTTCATGAACTTCTTAGCTTCTTCCACTATCGGTAGATCACCCCGATTGGTTGCCTTCAAATATCGCACGACGACAATGTTTGGCACAAAATTGACCATGATTTGTTCACCACAGCCTTGCGGCATTTTGACCAAATGTTCGACATTGGCTAGCAGTGGACCCATGATGTCACCTAAAATTTATTCTACTTTGTATCAGTCAGACCTACGATCATCTTCAATTTTCCATTTCGTGTTTAGTTGTCTCAAAATTGAGGATGCTCTGAAGTAGGGAGGATATCGAAACTAAAAACAAAAGTCCCTTACCAACAACTTCAAATCGTGCCTCTTGCGATCCTTCCACAACATCGCTAGGCCACATAAATCGCACAATCTTTTCGAAATTTGTATCTTTGCTAAGATCTATCAGTAGCGGAACGTTTCGATCCACACGATATCCGACAGGCTGTAAAATCTCCACATTAAAATAGGAGCATGTTCTTAGCTGCGTTGAGCTGAGACTTTAGCTAGAGGTGAGAGGTGCGAAAGGGGGAACCGGGTCACTGAAAAGTGAATGTGGTCCCAGCTAGCAAAAGTAGCGAAAGTATATTCTCACGCAGTTTACTTCTAGGATCTCGCTCTCAACGCTGCAAGACTCGAGGGCTCACCGCCATAAAATGGAACGCGTCTACCCTCATCACTCTCTACAAATTTGGAGAGTGAAGCTTCTTGACGATTTCAATGATTCTAAGAGCTCTAACCCAACGGCCCTCTTTAAGGTCATAAACACGAGGATAAATCGCACAAACATCAGATGATTGTGTTTATCAAATGATTTGGCATTTTCTTTCGACGAACTGTGAAAAAAAAATAGGTTGATCTAGGAAATAATACATGAATCGAAATTTGGATGGTAAAAATGCGAGATATGTGAAATCGCATTTGTAAATTTGGAGTTTGGAGATGTCAGCAACTGTGATTTGTAGCTTTTGAAGGGTAAGTGGAGTTCGTCGCCGAGAACCAGAATTTCAAGAAATACTCTATTTGAAGTTTATTGACAGATGACATTACAGCTCCTACAAATTTTTTGAGTATGAAGATGTGTGATGGTGCGCTTTCAAGGATATTGTAAAGTTCCTCTGTCAAACCACACCTTGCTTACCGATCTATGGAAACATTGCCAGGGCCAGGCCTTCAAAAAAGCAGGTGAAAATTGGTTTTTTAAGCACCAACAGATCATAACGTCTTTAATTCTTCATAAACCCGATTGCGGCTTCATAGTTTAGGATGCCCTCTTCAAGAGCTTTCAGATGATATGTAGTATATGGATGCTTCTTAGAACTTATGCTCGGGGAGGAGACTTTTCATCACAAAGTCTCCGCTTCGCTGGCTTGGAAGCCGCCAGATATAAACATTCTCCCTTAGTGTAGTGTGTAGGAGGCATCGAACCGTCACTACTACATATCTTCTAAAAGCTCTTAAAGAAAAGATTCTAACCTTTAAAATAGCAACCAGATTGAAGTGCTGAAAAAGTTAAGAGCTGTTGAAGCCTGAGAACCGAAATTGTAACTGCTTTTTTTCAAGGGCTTAGCTCTCGGCAATGTTTCAATGAATCAGCACGGCTAAGGTGTATGGCAAATCTTACCCTACAAAAGCTATGATGTCAGCATCACACACCTTCACAATCAAGGGCCGCATGCACTAACATCCCCGCGGGGAGGGGATCGCAGCTTAAAAGAAAGCTTTATATTTCGAAACTCCAGATACCTGGATTTCACGTTGTGTACCTATCCGTAAGTATTCCTATTACCCTTCACTATGAACATGTTGAACAGGAGCGAGAAGCTGTACGAAACGCATTTTCCAGCTTTTGTATGATCCCTGATGATCCCCTTCGCTTTTCTTCAAAGTCATTTTTCTTTCTCCGAAGTTAACGAAGAATCTCCAGAGTTGTGCAGATTGTCTAACCCGACAGTGCTAAGCATGTTGCTGCTAAGAACAAATGATGTTTTGAGGTCATGAAATTTGCGATGATCCACAGGTCGAAATTTGAGGCTTACCGAAAAATTCGACTTTTCAAAAACTCATTTGTTCTCATCAGCAACATGCTTAGCAGTATTGTGTTAGATGTTCAGTACAACTTTGGAAAGTTTTCGTTAACTTCGGAGAAAGAAAAATGACTTTAAAGAAAACCGCCGGGGATCATCAGGGATCATACAAAAGCTGGAAAATGCGGTTCGTACAGCTTCTCGCTCCTCTTCAACATGTTCATAGTGAAGGGTAGTAGGAATACTTAAGGATAGGTAGACAGCGTGAAATCCAGATATCCGGAGCTTCAGGATATAAAGCTTTCTTCTGAAGCTGCGATCCCCTCCCCGCGGGGATATTAGTGCATGCGGCCCCAAATCTTTTAGCATGTGAAATGCCAGCTTCAATGGACGACCTCAGACGAAGTATTTCTCTGAGATTCCGGTTCTCGACGACGAAATGTTAAATCAACCTGCTTTTTCACTATCTAGTAGAGAACACTTACCCTTCACAAGCTATGAAGTCGCAGTTGCTGACATCTCCATACACCAGATTTATGGAGATTCGATTTCACACAATATTCGCAATTCTATTTCAAAATTCAGGTTCTCGGCGATTATTTCTTGAATCGACCTACTTTCTTCATGGTCCTTCTGAATAAAATTACTTATTGCTAGTAAATTCGTAGAATCGCAATGAGTTTCACTTTCATACAAAACATATAATTAATACATTTATTTGAAGTATTTTTGTGATAATTTGTGGCCCTAAAAAGGACCTTGGATTAGAGCTCTTGGAATCATCGAAAATCATCGAAAAAAATTTGTTCTCCAAACTTGTATGGACTGCTGAGGCTAGATGCGTTCCATGGCGGTGATGTCCTTCTTATGCTTGCAGCAGGTGAAGTCGAGCTCCTCAAAGTAAATTGCGTGAAAATTCATTTTCATTGGTTTCTTTCGCATTTGTTTTGCTCATTTTCCTCTTTTTAATGACCAAGTGAAAGGGCCACAAGTGAAGGTGGTCATCCTGTGCCAGCTCAAAAGTGAAGGTAAGCAAGAGTTGGCTCTCCCTATCGCGTCTCTGATTTTAACATGCCAATTAGGAACATAAATGCACACACCTCAACTCTGAGTAGTTTCTGGACACTCCCACTAGTCTGCGGACTATTTACATCTACGTTTAGATTTATCATGCCAGCTCTGGTCGGAACGATAGGAAAATAGACAATCTTCTCGCCACCTGGCGGGACAGAGACTGCTCGTATGTTGTAGTTTTTGTCAGAGAGATCAGTGCTGAAACAGAAATTGCAGCTGAAAAAAGGTTTTGATGCTTTGAAAAGATGTGTTGATTAGCAATCCCGTTAGTTTCAAGGGGGAGTATGTCACAAATGTAGGCTCCTTTTGTAGAAACAATGGAATTTGGACCGAAAAATTTGATGCCTACTTCGCCCTAATGGTTCCATCCTTCTTCCAAAAGCTGAATCCCGATGCATCGTTGTGTTTGAGTTCGACAGTTATCTGCAATGGTTTTAGTTTCGAGAACTCTTATGGAAACATAAAAATCTTACAAGCTGCTCCTCTTGCATATGGTTGATCACTGTAATTGGCAAAACAAGCTTTTCTCCTACTTTCATGGTGTACGGTGCGTCGACGCGGATGGAAAAGGACTGAGGGTGAAGCTCACTCAAAATGACTTGACTGAGATTGAAGAGGTATACGTACCTTCGAACATGGCGGGTTTGCTGCTGGTGCGACTGGATGGTGGACTACTTTTATAGGTCTGAAAGATTTTGGGTTTTGTGAAAATGATTTACAATCTCTACTGTTCTTCAACGTTTTTCGAAATTTCATCTGTCAAAGCGCAAATTATTCTGGTGCTGCGCGGTAATTTCCAAACTCACTGCAACGACTATCTTGTGATTTTCCATTCACTTTCCAGAAATGTTGCAGTCACACACTATCGGACAAACAAAATTTACTAGCAAAATTAGAAGCAAATTTTCCTCTGTCAAGAGGCACTAAGTTTTTTACCATGCCACTTTAGCTAAACCTTCAACATCTCAACTTCTCAAAATTTTTAAGTGAGACCGAAGCAAATCAATTCTCTTATATACAACTACCGCAAGAAATGTTGTTTATCTACCCACTCAAAGGCAGTGTCCAGGTAAATCTGGGCGCATGGGCTTTTAGCTGGAAAATGACGAGGGGGTCCTAGCCAAGACACTGCTTAAGCGGCGGCGCAAATGATCTATCCGGAAAAATCCATTCCAACCCTCGACGCCTGCGCCGTGACCGTAAACTGAAATTGACTTCGCCCACATTAATACTACGTTCGCGCTGGGATCCATCCTAAGTCACTCGCGAATTACGGTCACCGCGCAGGCGCAGAGTGTCTGTGGACGGATTTCCAGCCGCGAATAGATCATTTGCGCTGCCGTTTGGGCAGTGCCTTGACTAGGAACCTCTCATCAGCCAGGCAAACCTACCAAACCAAACCACCTTGCCTGGACACTACCTTTAAGGTTTGATAGGCTACTATAAACGCAACAGAAACCTCAGCTTTTTCCAAAACCACTGAACGCGTCTGAATCTGACCTAAACCACACCAAAGATCTTGGAGTTTTATTTACAGTTATGAAAAGGCCGCGCGTTTTAATCACTCGCTTACGATGTGCATTTTAATCGCTTGTTCAAGAGTACAAAAATTATAAACTTGCTCTCTTTAGATTATTCATGAATGCAAGATATGCCTACCAGTAGCGCTTTAGTATGCACAACATAAAAAGGCTTATTCTAAAAAAGCAGTAATTATTTGCTTTTGCTGGTATGCTAACAAACGTAATTAAGCGTACCAGCAATAAAAATTCAGATAATCCTAAGCCTTTTGATATCTTGTCGACTGGAGAATAAAGTGGGTTATACTTCACAAAATAATGCGTTTCATAAACATAAGAAAATATATTTTAAGAGTTTCGGGACTTTTTGGAAGGAACTCAAAAAAGCGTTGGTGCTGCGTGAAGGAGCACAGCCGAAAACGGTATACGCGAGAATTGATTTCAATCTTAATGGTGTTTTTGAGCCGAATGCGAATTTTTAGTGATTCGTAGTTATATGAACGTCTCAAACGGGGCTACTTTTTTCACTTAAAACTGCAGTTTTTCAAGTCCATTTTTTGTAAGCCTGCAGTAAGAAAGTTTGAGGATCTGCTACACGCTGAACCTATTGCAGTTCGAAAAGAGCAGCGTTAATCTTCTCAGATGGCTCAAAATGCATGCTTTTTGAGTCAGAGCGTTCCATAAACGGCTGTTTTTCTGTGTTTATAGCACTGCAATGAGCTTCTACAAGGTCAAGGGATGTGAGTTTTGATAGATATTTTGTCTGAAGCTTGGAAAAATTCACTGCGTTCTCGTCGCGTTTTTCAACCAATTTTCTCATTCTTCAGTTAGCACGATTTCGAGCTTCAAAAATTAGCTTCCAAGTCCTACAATGATGCAAGCACACACTAAGTAGAAGTTCTTGAGACTGAGGATTAGGCTGGAGACTCACTTGGTTTTTAGCTTTATAGCCTCAAGATCAGTCCTACAACCCTTCCCCCCCCCCATCCCAGAAAAAACTTCAGCTTCAATATAATTTTTGAGTCTCAATCCTCTCATAACCTTGGTAGAAGCTAATTGCAATGCTTTGACCACAGAAAAACAGACGTTTATGGAACCCACTAACTCCCCAAACATTTTGAGTTTTGAAAAGAGTAACACGCCTCTTTTTGAACTGTTCTGGGTTCAGTGTACAGCAGATATCTCATACTTTGTCACTGTAGCTTTGCAAAGAAAATTGGACTTGAGAGTGTGCATTTTGAGAAAAAAAGGGCTTCGTTGAGGTGTTCGTATAATTATAAAGAGCTAAAACGTATTCGGCGCAAAAGCATTCCTGAGATTGACATCGAATTTCATTCTCGTACCGTTTTCTACTATGCTTTCTCACGCAGTGCCGATGGTTTTTTTGAGTTTCTTCCAGAAAGTCCCGAAACCCCAAATTACGGAGTGTTCGTGTAACTACGAACTGCACTTTAGTTTAGAAAAGTAATGGGAATACCTCGCAATTTATAGTGATACAAGTAAGCTTCGCATCATACACTAGAAAAGTATTCCAGTTGCTAGTTCAGCCGCTAGAGGCGATATAAACCTCAGTTTCTGGAAAGAGCAATCCAAAATCAAAATCCAAATTCAAAATCTATCTGATTATAGTTCGGCTGGACGCCGGATATTGCAACGATCTAAACATACGCTATTTGTTTCTCGTATAAGATACGAGACCAATATTGCAAGTCTCTCTAGCGAGCTGTTTAAACGTTAAACAACATTTACTGTACACAGACACACACATAAAGTGCGCTTCATAATTATACAAACCCTTCCATTTTGAAAGCTTTTGATTTTGGAAAAAAAATCGAGAAATCAGTGACTTGAAAGAGTAAAGTCGAAAACGCATACGCAGCATACGAAAAAAAAAATGAAAATCGGTGCCAATCCGAAAGTGCATATCGCGCCGACACGAATTTTGTGTGGTGTTCATCGAACGAACACCTCAGGCAAAACTTCTTTTTCACTCATAATGGCACATTTCTGGCTCCAAAATTTTCGTGGAGATACTGAGAGGTCAATCGGAGAGATCAGCAACACATCGAACCCAACACAGTTCAAAAAGGAGCAGTACTGCCGTCAGATAGCTCAAAATGCTTCTGGAACCAATGGGCTCTAAAATGTCACTTCTTCCGTGATTGGGCTCTCATTATCTTGCAAAAGTGTTTTGCGACAAAATAAGCTTTTTTGATAGATGTGTTGTTTGACGTCCTGTGTGCTCAATGCGACTTTCATCCTGGTCTAACTCTTAAATTATTTATTCATTCTGTACCTTCAAAGTTGACTTCTACCGTCAAGTTCGTAAAATAATGTGCTCAGCTAGAAAATGACTTTTTATACTAAAACAATCATAACATTTCCTGCTTTTTAGCACCAAGGCCTGAAGAGTAGTCAAGCGAACAACCCGAAAAACTTCAGCACGTATTACCATAAAAGCAACACATGTTTTACAGTAGAGCATTGCGATAGGCAAAAGCCGAGATTTGATTCTTGAAAGTGTGCTAATTTCAGGGTGAGGTTGGAAGATGGATGGAGAACACAACGAGTGCACAGATTTTTCTCCAGGCATCTTACAAATCCATCGAGAAAGCTCATTGTATCAGGAAACCCCTATACCACAGAACAGACGCTTTTGAAAGGAATTGACTTTAAAAACTCTAGCGGGCTTCGGAACCTAATCAAGGCTATAGAATGATCAGAGAGCACGCTCGCGAGAGAAACGCAGACTACGTCTGCGGGTGCGAGCGGTCGCCAATTCTAGCCGCCAATCAAGTTGAAACAGTATGTAAAACTTTCAAACTTTGCTACCATAGCTTCGCAAATAAATTCTGAAGCGAAGGATGTTTGAGAATCAGAACTTTGCTTGAGGTTTGGGTGTGATTATGAACCGATATGAACTCGCATTTGGCGCAAAAACATTCTCAAGATTAACGTCGATTTTCATTATTGTGCTGCGTATAGGTTTTCGACTATGCTCTTACACACAGCGCCAACGTAGCACCTTGAGTTTCATTTAAAAGGTTCAGAAAATCTAAAATTAAAGGATGGTCGCATGATTGTGATCGCACTGTACTACAGGGTGTCCCAAAAGTAATTACACACTTTCTAATCTCAATATCTCTCTTCCCATTGTATCTTTTTCCGCTATTTAAACACCATTCTGTAACAGAGCGGATCCATTACTGTAGGATTACTGTAGGAACTTCGACAAGGATTTTAGGCCAGTGGAAGCCATATTCTGCCCCGGAACAAAACAAACAAGCCAAAAGCTCTCATACTACGGTAACGGAAGCCGCTGATTTCGAATATGAAATTTCTACTTTACTGTAATGCTTTTTTCCAAAGTTACCCAAGTAAACCGTAATAATCGAACTCCCAGTATTTGTCAGAAATGTGATTACATCGTCAAAAAAGCTGAAAATACTCGTAAAAAAGTTGTGTAGTAAAATCAGCGTGCGCGAAAACCCTAGTACACGATTTTTCATAATTTTGAAATGAAATCTTGTCAGATGGCATATTTTACAATGGTTCCACATGCTGGAATTTCTTACAGTATTCCTACAGTAACGAAGAGCAATCGGTAATTCGATTCGATACGGTAAATCTAAGCTGAAGCTCTACAGAATGGTACTTGACTGGCCAAAAAAGATCCATTGGGAAGAGAGATATTGACGATTGAAAAGTGTGTACTTACTTTCGAGACACCCTGTATACTGGGCTATAGCATACGGAGGCGGCGCACGAAATTTCAAAATTTAGCGAAAGCAGAGTTGAGATGAAGCGAATTTCAAAGTGAAGCAAATCCTAAGCTAATTTGAATTTTTCGAAGAACTGAGCAGCAGGGCAGGATTTGATGACGCCTTGTATAATGCGACTGTGAGGTGAGATATATTAATCAGATCACATACGAGATGTAAATGTGTCGCGGATTCTAGTAGATATAGAAGACAGACCTGTATCACAAAGGCTCCATGTTTTGAGGAAGAAATCGTATTTTGGGAAATTCGGAAACATTGGCTGTACTCATGTTAAGGCTCATGGAAATGATTTTTTGCCAAACGACTTTTGAATGTTACAGACTTTGAGAGAGGTTTTGAAGTTGAAGACGAGATCACTTGACAGCTCAGTCACCTAGTTTACCCAAGCCGGTAGCTACATAGCGACTTCTGTTGACATAAAATCTACATACCTGAGCAATTTCGGAGGTGTTTTTTGCTCCAAATGAGTGGGCGCTTGAATGATGGTTGAGGGAGGAGTTTCCACCTTTAGTTGAGTGGGCGCTTGAATGATGGTTTTGGGAGGAGTTTCCACCTTTAGATGAGTGGGCGCTTGAATAATGGTTGGGGGAGGAGTTTCCACTTCTAGATGAGTGGGTGCTCGAATAATGGTTGGGCTTGGAGCAGTTTTTATCTTTAGATGAGATGGCGTTCGAACAATGGTTGGTCCTGGAGCACTTTCTATCCTCAAATGAGCGGGTGCCCGAATAATGGTTGGGCTTGGAGCAGTTTTTATCCTCAGATGAGCGGGCGTTCGAATAATGGTTAGCCCCGGAGCGGTTCCTATCCTCAAATGAGGAGGTGCCCGAATAATGGTTGGACTTGGAGCAGTTTTTATTCTCAAATGGGTGGGCGTTCGAATAATGGTTGGTCTCAGAGCAGTTCCTATCCTCAAATGAGAGGGTGCCCGAATAATGGTTGGGCTTGGAGCAGTTTTCAGCTTCAAGTGAGTGTCCGTTCGAATAATGGTTGGGCATCCTGCACTTTCTACCTCCGCACTTTCCACATAAGTGGGCGAAATAATAGTTGGACTGCTGAAATATATCTGAGTTGATGGGAAATTGATATCGTGTAAAAACCACTATCTTGAGGTTCAATTGAGAAGTTACGATGACACGTTTAGAAAATTTCGCCTTTTTATTAGGTCCTTAATCAATTTCGTTTCTTCAAGCCTATCCGCAAGTCACGTACGAATATGAGCAAGCCCTTAAGTAGCATTAGACGTAAAATTCCCTCCCCCCTTTCTTCAAAGTTGTGTTTATACGTAGTATAGACGATTATTTCGACAGTTTTAGATAATCTGCAAAGCCCCGTTTTTGGCTCGAATCTGACTTCACCTTTTCAAGATTTTGGAAAGGCATTGATGCAGTGCTTTTTATTACCTGTAAAACTTAGTCTTTTCTTTGGTGGCTATTTTCATTAGGTTGATGCAAAAGTTCTTTCTCACCAAATTCAAAAATTCATAACTTGTTGAATTACAAATCTGCGAGATCTAAATTTTGTATAAGAGAGGAACTCATGCTCTTTGCAACTGTACTTGAACTGTTCGTTAATGTGCGCAAATGAAGGAGATAGAAGCTCAAAACCAAAATCACTCAAAATTTGAATTTTTCGTGTAGGGTCATAAAAAATCGGAAACTTGCAACAAAAATCGGAGCAGGCGGTATTGTAGGTTCTTTTATCCGTTCTTTCTAACAGTGCAAAGTTTCCGCCGATTGAGCATGTCTAGAAAAGTTATGATTTTCTTGAAAAATGCCAAAATAAATCAAATTCTCCCTTTTATATTGCTTGCTCGAAAATTGTAACTTTCTATAGAAACGCTCAATCAACGCAAACTTTGCACTGTTAGAAAGAGCTGGTGAAAGAACCTATAATAATGACTGCTCCGATTTTTGCTGCAAGCCTCCGATTTTTTATGACCCTACACAGAAAAATCAAATTTTGAGTGATTTTGGTTTTGAGCTGTTATCTCCCTCATTTGCACACATTAACGAAGAGTTCAAGTACAGTTGCAAAGAGCATGAGTTCCTCTCTTATACAAAATTTAGATCTTGCAGATTTGTTGAGAATTCAACAAGTTGTGAATTTTTGAATTTGGTGCGAAAGACCTTTTGCACCAACCTAATATACAGGGTGTCCCAAAAAATGTTAACACTGTTTGATCCTTAATAACTCTCGTGCTTTCATGTCTTTCGCCGAGCTTGAGGCACCATTTTGTAGAGCGAGGATCAACTTAGATTCATAGTATGGAGCGAAACACCGTTTGCTCTTCGTTACGGTAGGATTACGGTGGGAAATTCCAGCATGTGGAAGCGTCGTGAAATATGCCCTCTGACAAAAATTTTTTCAAAAAATCTGAACAAATGTGTACTAGGGTTTTCGCGCACGCTGATTCCACTACACAACTTTCTACGAGTGTCTTCAGCTTTTTTAACGATGTAATCACATTTTTGACACATGCTGGGAAGTCAGTTATTACACTTTACCTACCATAACTTTGAAAAAAAGTATCATAATAAAATGGAAACTTCATATTTGAAATTAGCGGCTTTCACTACCATAGTACAAGAGATTTTGGCTTGTTTGGCTCTGTTTCGAAGCAGAAAATGGCCTTTGATGGCCTAAAATCCTTGTCAAAATTTCTACCGTAATTTTACAGTAACGAAGAGTGATTGGTGATTCGCTCTATACTGTAAATCTAAGTTTATCCTCGCTCTACGAAATGGTACCTAAAGCTCGGCGAAAGATTTGAAAGCAAGGGAATTATTAGCGATCAAACAGTGTTAACATTTTTTTGGGACACCCTGTATGTGAGGCAGCGTTTTTCGCCAATAAAATCGCAAGATTTTATATTTTTCAAATACAACAGTTATGTCCAGAATCCTAGACACTCATATTTTGAAACTGATACTTATGAACTGATTAATCACAACGGTCTAGTGATTAAATTGGAATCTTCTTGAAGGTGTTCCATGATTCGGTGCGAACATCGATTTCTCCGAAAATTACATCTCCGGAAACTTACGCCAAAATAATAATCTTATTACAATAGCTTTGTTCTAATAGGCTGAAGTTGAACACGTTGGATCCTTCGCCAACCTCCTTTACCTGGTTTGATTTAGAGTAGTAGGCTAGAATGCGAAAATATGTTGAACATACGAAAGTATTACCTTACGAAACAGGGTGAGCTTAGTGAAATAACCGAGATACGCATAATTTGGCCCATTCTCCTTGACCTCACTTTTTTATGTTAAATTTGGTGACGAAAGCAGAGTCTGTCAGAGTAACCACCTCTGGCGATGGCTTCAGTCCTACTTACTTTTGCTTTTTTCCAAATAAATGCTTTCCAACAGCGTCATTCGTAAAACTATGCTTATAATGAAAAAACATTACCTTCTGGTAAACTATCCTCATTAATGTAGCTCAGCTCAGTGAATGCAGTCATTTGGATGCCATAATTCTATTTCATCAGGTTAGTTTGGTCGTAGAGGGGTCGTAAAAGGAGAACCGGCGGTGGGGGGGGGGCGTAAGAGAGGGTCCGAATTAAAGAAGTATGGAATGTAGGATATAAGCTTCTCAGTCGCAAACATTCTCTACTTTTCAAAAAACAGCATTTTTCTCTCTGCAAAAAAGGTGTCGCAAACCGAAGATTCCAAAGGTCCTTTCAGAAGCTCAAACACTAGGCATGTATGCGTGACAAGAATGTTAAATGTACCAATTCGTCTAGAAATCCTGGTTCCAAAGCATCACTGAAGTCTCAAACTCTCGACAAAAGCGCTCATCTCTACCAGCGATGACCATCGATAATTTTTACAGCCTTTTTGTTATGTCTTCCAAGGACCCATACAATTTACCTGTACTTTGAAGATGCTTTGCTAGAGTTGTGCAAAATCTGGTTATATTTCATAGCCTGTGGATTTTTTTAAAATTTTATACAGAGTGTCCCAAAAAGATGTGCACACTGTTTGATCGTTAATAATTCTTTTGCTTTCATGTCTTTTGCAAGCTTGAGGTACCATTTGTAGAGCGAGGATAAACTTAGATTACAGTATGGAGCGAATCACTTGTCACTCTTCGTTACTGTAGGATCAAGGTATGAAGCAGCAGCAGCGTCACTGTGGAATAAGCCTTTTGATGATATAATTGTAAAAATCTGGAATTTCGTGTAGAGAGGTTTTCAGGCGTGCTGATTTCACTATATAACTTTCCACCAATTTTTCGAGCTTTCTTGATGGCGTCATCGTATTTTTGACAAACACTGGAAAATCAGTTGTTACCTTAAATCTCAAATAACTCATGAAAGAAACAGGTACTGATGTGCAACTTTCATATTAGGCTGTCCGGAAATTAATGCAGGTTTTGAATTTCAACCGCAATAAGTCATACACTTCTCATTTCTAAATAGGTTGCAAGGTACCATTCGATAGAGCAAAGCAAGCTCTACAAGGTGTCTTGCTTTACAGCTCTGATCCACCACGAGTTTCGAGCCAGAAACTGAAAAGATTCAACTGCCAGAAAAATTGTGAAAAATTGTAACTCAGTTCATAATAATCCTGCAAAAATTCTAACTTGCTCACGTAAACCCAATCCACATAAGACATCCATATACGCCGTTGCCGTATTTTTTCTCTGCTAGAAATCAAGAATACGGAAATTTTCATGCATTTGCCAAAGTGGTGTTGTGCCGTCTCCACATAAGTAGTTGTATACTACAAACCTGTAGAAGTAAAAACGTAAATTTTCAGCTCTTTACAAGCTTTAATTCTCGAGAAATCTGAATTTTAGCTTGGACCACCTAACTAATGAAGGCTGTATTCGATATTTCTCGAGAACTAAAGCTTGTAGAGAGCTGAAAATTTACGTTTGTACTTCCACAGGTTTGTAGTATGCAACCACTTATGTAGGGGCGGCACAGCACCACTTTGGCAAATGCATGAAAATTTCCGTTTTCTTGATTTCTAACAGAGATAAAAATACGGCAACGGCGTATATGGATGTCTTATGTGGATTAGATTTACGTGAGCAAGTTAGAATTTTTGCAGGATTATTATGAACTGAGTTACAATTTTTCTCAATTTTTCGGGCAGTTGAATCTTTTCAGTTTCTGGCTGGAAATTCGTGGTGGATCAGAGCATTGCTAAAGCAAGATCGCCACCTTGTAGAGCTTGCTTTGCTCTATCGAATGGTACCTTGCAACCTATTTAGAAATGAGAAATGTATGACTTATTGCGTTTGAAATTCAAAACCTGCATTAACACATTGACGACCACGCAGAATTTTAGTTGTCTGCCTTCTGGGACCAAGACCTTTTACGAAGCATCCCACAATTCTCAACTAAAATTACGCATAATGCTATCTACAGTACACCTACAGTAGATCTGAAGGGATGACAAAAAAAGTAGAGGTAATCCCCAAGTTCAGTGCAAAAGAGAGCTCACGGAGTGAGTTTATCCCAAGATAGTGGTCATTTTAATAAAATTCAAGCCTTGACACACATGGTGTGTCAAGCGGTCCCATACGGTAGTCATTGCTTGACACACCATGTGTGTCAAGCTGTCGTCAATGTGTTAATTTCCGGACAACCTAATATTTAGAATCAGCAACTTCGATTAACCCAGTTCAAGAGTTTTTGGCTTGTTTGGCTTTCTTTCTAAGGCAAAATACCGCTTTTAATGGCTTAAAATCCTTTTCGAAATTTCTACCGTAATCCTACAGTGACGAAGAGAGATTGTTGATTCGCTCCATACTGTAAATCTAACTTTATCCTCGCTCTAAAGAATATTACCTCAAGCTCGGCAAAGGACATGAAAGGAAGAGAGTTATTAACGATCAAACAGTGACATCTTTTTGGGACACTCTGTATATGGCAACAACAAATAAAAAGTATCTGAGTCGCATCTAAGTTTTTTTGCCGCTATGGAGGCTTGCTCGCTGCAACGCTGTATTACGACGCCATCCTCCTACTTTCTTTCCTAAAAATTTCGGGCGTTTCGTTGCGTTTTCAGTGAGTTAAGGAATTTTGAGCCCAAAAATC